TTTAGCTGATGCAGCGCGCATCGACATGTCTCCAGAAGCTAAGCACCATACATTGTACATGAGCTGCGACAGCATGAACTTTGCATGTTCGATCACCTACCGGATGCTCGATATAGTCCTCACAGCGAAAACACCAAAAAGACAGATCCGAAAAGCTAGCACATACTGCGTGCTCGTCCTCGGCGCCCTTGCCACTAGTTGCATGCGCCGCCATATGTCCCTGAACATACCTAGTCACGCTCTACATTAGCATGACGGGATTTAAACAGCGTCTTTTGCACATACCGGCTGCACATGATGCGGCCGCACGAAAGGCAGTACCAGTTTTCGCTCTTGTCGCCGCACACTTCGCAAGGCGCAGTCACTACATTGCCTGTGTCATTAGCAGCCTATTTGCACAGTAATAAGAGTGGGGCGTACCGTCGAGTGTCGACAGGTCGGCATTCAGGCGTTCGCCTAGTGCCAGCACATGTGGGCAATCAAGCCGTGGTGCTACTGCAAAGCCGGCAAGTAGCTGGGCTGTTGCGTCGGCCATGATGCAATGCGGAACAGGAAAGAGTGACGTGGTGCAGCAGCATACATGATGCCTGCAGCGCACATTGACACGGATGTACCCTTGGCTGCTTACATCTGATCCGAACGCAAATGCTATAATGGATCGGTCTCTTGCTCACCAGAATGCAGCAATGCGTACTCCACTCTGGTCTACGTGGCAAAAGAGAGATGCTACATCTTGCGCAGTCATATTGACAGCCAATTTGTTTAGATGTCCTGTGCTCCATGCCATCTCTCTTCAATTCCTTCCTCATCGATGGCCTCTAGTCAACCTCCACTAACCGGCTCTGTCGCCAGTCTAAGCGGTCAGATTCCGTCGAGCGTGGCACAGCCGACCACTGCCGCTGTCGCAGCTGTGACGGGCATACCACCGTCGGCAGCCACCGCCGCGGGGATAGGTGTGGGCGCGCAGCAGCCACCTGTTGCCGCAGCCGCTGCTGCCGCCAGTACAGCAGGCCAGTATGAGGCATCGCTTCACGCTAGCATTGCCGCGGGTGCAGCGCGTGCGCGCCTTCTTGATCGTCTGGAGGCGATGTGCGGTCATGGACCGGGAGAGCCGTTTGCCGAACATGTTATTGCCTTCATACCAACCGACGCACGAAAGCCCATGAATGCGCTGGCTACGCAGGAGGTGCAGCTGCGTCTGCGCCGCGAACTGACGGCTTACCAGCTACAGCACGAAAGTACAGGCAAGGAGCCTTTGGCCTGCCGCGAATGGTGGCTGTGCCAGTTTGGTCATCCAGAGACGCGGCCTGGTCGACAGGTGACAGTGCGTCCGTTTCTGCAAACGAGCATTGAGGGCAACGCCATGCTATTTATCGCGGCGCTGGGCTATGACTTTCTGTTTGAGTATGTGCGCCGAGGACGCGTGTTTACGTTTGATAACTCGGTGCGCGTCCATGTCTATCAGCCGCACAAGGCAAGTGTACGAACGCACGCAGTAGCATTAGATGCCTTCTCTGACACCGCGCATGCGACAGCTGAGTGTCCGCAATGCAGTGGCCAGCGCAAGTGCCGTGGACCGCGACTGGATCGTGGAGGCGACGGCAGTGTCCCCAGACTCGGAGCACATTCCACGGGCAACCGAGGCGCTGCTCCGTCTCAAAGGACTACTCGCGGGGTAGGTAGCCACGGTGCGTCCACTCGGTCAAGCACATTGTATTTACCACACAAACGCCAGCGTTGCAGAGTTGCGTCAGGTAGATCACATTGCATTGCAGCAACGCGCGTCAGACCGGAGAGGATAATGGAGATGTACGTGGATGTCACGACGCAGCATGCTTGTGGCGTTCAACCGCTTATCCGCAATAGAGATGAACAAACATGTGGTTTACCAAAGACAATCCGGTAATGCTTGCGTGTGGAACAAAACTTGTACTGGCATCCGCTGCCGTCGACGCGCGTGTCAACGACAATTTTCCGGCGCATGGACTACAGTCGTGTGACATATCAGTTGTAAGGATAGATAAAAAAAGTAAGCAGTGGAGGCCAGCAGCAACAGACATGAAGAGTTGTTTATCAGTAGAGCGACGGTAAAACAAAACCAGCTAGCAACTTGCTTGCTTGTAGAATGGCGCGCCAGCAACCAACGCTCGTCAGTGCATCGACGCCTCGCCCGCATCTGAAGCTGACTGCGAGCGAACGCGACACACCTCCACAGCGATGTTGCATGAAAGAAGCGTATGAATCCACACCTGTACCATGGCCGATCATCGTGTCAGTTGGATGCAAATGTACGCATACACCGACGGTACCTTTTGCGATTCAGACAGGCGGTCATTGGGACTCTTGACTGCATGGATGTACCATTGGGTCAGCGCTACCATCCGCCACTAGACGCAAGCTGTCACCTACCTTCGACAAATTTGCATTCGCTCGTGCTACTCTTCCACAGACTAAGCAAGCATGATACACATCAGCAGCGTGCGATAATTTAGCAATCGCCAGCATCTCATACCACAAGTCTGGGACACCCGATGACCATCTCGTGTACTCTTGCGCTAAAAGTCGACAGATGGCGGACAGTGCACTGCCACCAAGACACTGGTGCACGTCGAAAGAGCACATGGGTATTCAAAGCTAGATATGCACTCGATAGCGCCGTGCACTTACCCGAGCAATCTCCAGTAGCACCGTGCGCGAATACTGCCAGGAGACACCAGCGCACATGGTATTGCGCGGGGCCTCTCGAGCATACACCTGACTAATCAGCTGCAGATACAAGCGCGATAGCGGCGTAGCAGTGTCATGCTCGTCCTCATCGACGTCTCGAATTGGGATGAGCACTTTGCCGTGCTCCACATCGACATCCTCAATCTGACGTAGTCGCGCATCGATTTCACCTCGACAGCCTGAGTACAATGTGCCACAGCTTATTAGCATACGCGACATGGTGTCTGCATGACAACGCTGTAAACGCCCACCAACATAGAATGCATCGGTCGCTAAATCGAGCGGAGCAGACTGTTCGGCAGTCTCAAAGGCACCGTCGCGCTCCGAAAACAAAATGTCCCAAAAGAGCAGCGTAAACTGCAGAGAAACACATGTAAGTGATCAGCTGTACTGGCGCACACCGCCGAGCTAACCAGTGTTTTTACAATGCTGCCTTCTGCATGAAGTCTGCGACCATCCGTTAGCCGCACCCAAAGGCAACGGCACGTCTGCTCGCTTCTCTTACCCTTGATAGCCCTGTGAAGCGTAGTGGCAAAGTGCCAACTCCTCCACCGTTCCTTCTGTTGCATCTTCGCCTAGCCGATACACAGCCCTTGTACCAGAAGGCGACGTGCCTACACGGACTCCAGAAATAAAAATCACATCCGCCTCCCGGATACTCAGATGGGTAAAGCTGCGCTGCTCGCTAAATGGCACGGCGAGAATCCGCTGCAACTTTAGCACACGGCGCTGGATCGTCTGCTGAGACGCCGTCCAAACGGTTGGATCCTCCAGCGCCCGGCCACAGGTGGCCAACGCGGCGCGCCTATCATGAAGATATCGTTCTTGCACAAGAGCAAGGCGCTCATACCAGACTCCGCGTGCGCCAATACAGTATGTTCTTTGATCCAGCAGCTTGCACAGCAGCGCAGCCTCGTCTTCGTAGCGCTTTAGCCGCGCCAGTGCTTTCAGGCCGTGTCCCATGATGCGCGTATAGACCCAGCCTACCGCAAATCACCGTTAGTAATAGCAAGACTTGCTAGCAAGCATATTTTTGCTCACCAGCGGAGAAACGAGAAAAGTAGTAGCTAGTGCGAGTGTCCGCGCCTTGCTCTAGCACAGATATAAGCGCCATATCTAGGCTAATCTCGCATTCACGGCAGCGTGACCAGGCCATACGCGCATGCTCGTCCGAATCGCCTGCAAGCAGCTCCACGATCTCGCTTTCCACAGCCAGTGCCTCCTCGTATGCCAAAAGAGCATTTCGATCGGCAAATACGGTGCTGGACCGATGCACGGTGTATTCGGGATACTGGCGAAGACCAAATGCCGAGAGCAGCGCTTTCACGATGGGCGGGTCGTCCGGGTCTGCAACACGGTAGTAGATAAGATGAGAACGCTGAAAAGCCTGGATCCCAGCAACGCGCAGTTTGACCAGTTTGCCTGCAAAGCGCAGTATTAGACCCTCGAATTAGCAGCAGACAACGAGATTTTAACGGCGCATTAGAGATCGCACCGGTCACGCCCAGTGCGCGCTGGAGTAGACGTTTTTCGCCACTTTCCCGACACACAGTCAAGGTCAAAGTCGACTGAGCTTGGGCCTGCCTAAATGTAAGCGTTGGCTGCGTGCGCACCTGCCGTTTAATGCGGGCAATCCGTCGGCTCTGCAAAAATGTATCAGCGACAGCAAGGTCTCGCCAGTGCTAATCGTATCTACCTTACTGACGTCTGACCGTGTCTTACGACCTGCAGCCCCGACCAGCATGTCCAGCTCGCCTGCATTCAACAGCGCCAGCACTTCCTCTACAGACTCTACAGCATGTTCTCCATCTGCTAGGCCAGCCTTAAATAGCTCTTCCAGGGCGGCCGCAACATCGTCAATGCCATCGTAAGCAAGTGTGCGAGCGCGAATCCAGCCGTGCTTGCGCAGAAACAGACGCACGTATAGGTGTTGCGCGGCGTCTATTACATAAGCCATTGTTAGTTAGAGTCTAGCGCTAGCCGTATGCAGCAAAGCGCATACCAGAAAGCTGCTCAAAGACGTCAAAAGTTGAGCATTCCTCCTCGCTGAACAGGTAACGCTCGTGGCTCAACACGACACGCAACACATCGCGGAATACGTGTACATGTATGGAATGTTGCGGCTGTGCACGCTTCAGCGACTCTGCGTCATTGCAAGTGCCTGCTCGCTTTCTGCTTGACCCTGCTTGGGTGTCATGACCAGCAGAAGCAAAGCAGGGATCGTCTTCGCCGGGCGGAAACATTGTGCAAAAAGTGATGCAGCAGCAAAAAAGCTCTCTGTCGGGGAATTGAACCCCGGTCTCCCGCGTGACAGGCGGGCATACTCGCCACTATACTAACAGAGATTATTGATGACAAAAAATGACAAGGCAGTTTGAAATTTTTATTTTAGCACAAATGGTGTATTTCTCCGGCTTTTTTTACTAATGGCGGCAGTGCGTACTTGTGTTTGCGACATGCTAGTCAGCGAACCGCTAGTCATGCTGGGAGCGCTTTACGCTTACAAGTCCACCGACACTTAATAAAGCGTCAGTGGGATACTCTTCAGTAACAAAAAAACACACACACACACTGGTGCGGTTTCTGCCAGAGGCCCACAAACAGCTTCTGTAGTCCTGACGTGCTTACAGCAGGACTAGCGGTGGAGTCGACTATCCCAACAAACGCGACCACTGCACCGAGCGGCGAAGCCAACGCCTAGCCCCTCGTTCATTCGGAACAGCCAAAGCAGTCGACGATCGCACATAAGCGATCAGCCCAACAGCGAAAACGAGCAACTAAATTTGAGTAAGCTCATCACCATCAGCACCTCTTGGAGCGACGTCAGCCGAATCTTTGAGGACGAATACCCGTCTGACTACGACTTTGAGTAACATCAGGTTCGAAACACCTAGGCGGCGGATTGCCATCGCCACCGCCACAACCAGCCAGGGAGTGGTGAGTGGCGCAGCCGTACGTCGACTAGTCACGAGTAACTACGAGTATTTCCGGCGTCGCCGATAGCTGAAAGGGTTTTCCAGCTGGGAGTGTTTTCCCCCAAGTGGTTTACCTCCCTGTACGGTTCTTTCTCCCTGACAGAGCCCGAGTGATCTTCTACATGGTCGCAAAAGGTTTCCGCCTGGTTCGGATATGGCCAAATTCAGTCGATTGAAAAATGGTGAGACAGGCCATAGGGTTACTCGCTGGATCAGAATGTCTGCTGTGCTGGTCCGCGTGAGAGGCATAGGCAATGGGCAGGCATCAGCATTCCCAACGGTGCCAATAAAACTGCAGCATCAACATCACCAGCGGAATGCATGACGTCAATGCGCACTGGTAATTATCAGATACCTATTCGTCTGTGACCACTGCACCTAGCTCTATACATGACTTTTGATACTAGCACGCTCGTCAGTTTAGCTCTAACCACCAAGGCTGCAGTTCGCCAAATATCTCCGCAAACCAGCTCTTTCACCATAGTTACGCTGTTATCAATGATAGCGCAGGAAGTCTTTTTCCCACGCGAGCTCACCCACATACCATGCTGGGTGGTGATTTTATTGGCGCTAGTGATGGCCTACATCGGCAGTAGGCTAATAATGTCTCGAATGCGCCAAGCACGAGGGAGCGCGGCAGATGGCAGTGTTGGCTGCAGTGCTTGGGCTTGCACGCACTCTCTTCATTTCTGCCGCCTTGTTGTGTCACGCCCTTGCTCGGATATTGTTCAGTGCCGCAAGCCGGCAGTCTAGCGGCCGAGAACCCGCTCGACGGCATTACTGGCTAAAGCGGCCCGATGGCTCAGGTTAGTGCACGATTGGTTGGTGCTGACTGTACGTGCATTGCAGCTGGCCTTATCAGTAGCTGATGCTTCACACACTGCTTACTCCATATTGTTCGCTGTGTACACGTGAAGCGGATTGCTGCTCGGTTTGCGCGACTCCGATGCCGATGGCACGACTATAATACTTTACCTTTTTGGCACACCATTACCCATCTAATTTCTTCTCCACACCATTCTTACCCACCCTTCTGCAATACCGCAGGTATTCACCACATAGTCGTCTATAGGAATTTACCTTTTGTACCATGTCTGCCAACACTGAAATTGACCAGGTAGCCAAGTGTCCTGCGCGCGCCCGCTACCAACAGCGGTAGACCTCCTGCTAACGTTTTCTGTAATTACGCGCGTGCCAGACAACCAAGCCGGAAGTGCAGCCCATCGGCCTGTTTGATGCAGGATACCAGAAAGAACTGGAGGCAGTCGAATGGGTGGCGGGCATGACTGCAGACGAGAGCTCAGAGCTGGGCGCTGCTTTGCGCCGACTGCGTGCGGATAGCGTGAGCGCACCCGCTCACGACGCCATTCTCGAAAATCTGGCAGCGGTTGAGAAGGCACTGGCAGCCGACTCGGCTGTCTCAAACGGCACACAGTAATTGACAAGCGCTATCTGGCACGATTAAAGAACAGATGAAGCTGCTTTTACTGAAAGCATGATGTGTGCAATGAAACGAAATGCGGGGAGGCACATAAAGGCTTGGTGTAGTGGCGCTGGGCAGAATGATGGCCACATGGAGGCACCAGCATGACGGTTGACGAATGAAAACCGGCATGTAGGCCAACTGCCACCATCTCCACACACAGGCCCTATGCGAACGACTACATGCCTTGATCGCTACTGCTACTGCTGTGGTCAGTGCGGAACAGATCAGTGCGGTGGTAGAAAAGCTCAACACGCCGATGAAAGGCCTCTAGCTCCGCAAGGCGATCTGCGTGGGCGTGCAGCAGCATTCTATGTTCGGTGCGCGACTCGCGCCAGCGTGACTCCAGCCATTCTATGCGATGCAGTAGGGCCACATCGCGCGCCGTCTCTGGAGGACCGCCCGTCCACGGTGGCGGACGGTCATAGTCGGGATCCGAGAGGCTGTAGGAATGTCTGCGCTGTAGCGGCTGGCTGAACGGCAGCTTTCTTGGCGACGGGTCAATGGCGGAGGCGGGTGGTGCCAACTCCTTTGGTGCCGTCGACATGGGAGGTGCACTCTCCCTCAACTGGCCAACGCCACTATCGTGACTTCCTGTTCGATGAATGGCCTGGTCGGCCCATTTGCTGCCTGTCCCGTCCAGCGGGCCGCTGCTTCCGCCAAAAATGCCGCCGCTATCACTGACAGGCACCCAGGCGACGCCAGATGGCAGACGCGCAAGCATGTATCCCCGCAGCAGATAACGCTGCACAAACCCCCAGGGCTTGAGCCGTGGAGCACCAAACATGAACGTATACAGAATGACCGCAAATGATATGGCGCCGCCCAGCAAATTGATCAAGTCCAGCCAGGTGGTAACACGCATGCCAACGCGACGCTCGACGGAGAATTGCGCCGTAACGCCATTGCCCACTGTCGAGTGTGCTGGGAGTAGTCGTAGGACAATAGCTCGCCCGGCTGTCGTTGGGGCAGCAGCAGAGTCCAACACCGACTCGTAGTCGGTCGACAGGGTGCCGTTGGGCATGATCACATCGGACTCACGAACGCGCAGCGTGTGATTGGTGTCCATACGCAGCGCGTGGCTTTCAAGTGTTGCGTAGAATGATGCGCTCAGACCTGCGAGGTCTGCCTCGGGTGGTTTTTGGAGCGCTGGAAGCACCGTAACATAGACGTCGCTACGGGTATCGTTGCCACCCAGATTCAGTTGCAAACGCAGATCAGACACAGCATTGGATCGGCTGACCGAGGCCCCAGCTGGGTAAAACACCGCGGATGACTCGGGCTGTATCCAGAGCAGAGAGCGCGACATGCCGGCGCTAGTCGCGTTTGCATGGTGCACAATGGTCTGCATGGAAAGTGCGGGCGCTCCAGCCTCTGCACTACTGGTACCGGTTAGTGAAACTTGAGCATCGGCAAATAGACCCAGCGAGCCGATGAACAACAGAGCGGGCACATTGACGCCGCGTGCTCCGTGCTCTGACCGAAAGACAATCGCGGGATGCAACACATGCAGTATTTCAACAACCGTCAAGAATGTGAGTCCGGCCGCGAGGAGGAGCACCACCACAATGCGCGCTACGCCCAGCGAGCGTGGCTCATAGGAGCGAAAGAGCAGGTTGGACATGGGACTGCAAGATGCACAACAGGACGGTCAGACCAGCCGCGCGTCGCAAGTGCGGCAGTCGTGTAAGTACACTGCAGGCACCCCGGCTCAATGTGTGATAGTGCACAGTATAGTGGATCAAAGTTGTGTGCGAGTGCACGATGCTGGAAATGCTAAAGATGCTGATGCTAGTTTGCTGTCACGCCGGAAAAATGCAGCTTCGCGCGTGGATACAGGAGACAAGAGGATGGATACAGGCGGGAAAATCAGAGCGTAGCGTGAAGAGAGTGAGAGAGAAGCGGCACGGCAGACAATGGGCGCTGTCTGGCTAGCTGCGTCATTAGCGCAGATGTGGATGCAGGGCCAAAGGCGATAGTCGGGTGACGCGGCCGTTGTAACACAACAGCTAAATTTACATCGCCGCTTAGCCGTCTATATATATATACCAGTATAGCCACTAGCTACGTGGTTGCCGTCGATCGGCACAAGCGCGTGCAGGCGTGAGAGACAGGCTATTTTCTACTGATGTCCGATAACAGCAGCACGCGTCGCCGCCAGTGGCTGGTGCGCTGTTGTGGCGTCTGCAGTGCGGTCTATCTTGAGCGTTAGGTGGCCGGCTCGTCTGCGCAGCTGCCTAAAGCGGAGGACCGAAAAGTTGGCGATTGTTCGCTGTGCGCCAACACAGGCAAGGGCATGGCGCCTTTGAAGTGGATACGCACGCAAGATGCCGCCATTATGGACTGCTTGGCAAGGTGGTACGCCGCATCTCAAGTGGCCAAACAAATCTTTGCCACGCTCATGGCTGGTGGATGCTGCCAGGGGCTGAGAAGGCGAGTGACGTCCTATCAACGGCAAGCGTGCATGGTGGGCAGAACCACGTCTCTCGTCACGACCGTCGATTCGCGCAATCCAGCATCCAAACAACACGCTGTTCTAAGAGGTTGGCGCATGCAAGTGCCCGTGCGTGGACGCACAGGCGCGTGTGCACGCTTGCTACGGTAGCCGGCCGGGGCGCGATTTCTCTGTAAACAGCCTGTATTTAGTACATGTAGTGGCGCGAAACACGTAACGCCCAGAGGCAAAGTGGACGAATGTGGCGTGAACAAGGTGTCACTAGTGATTATCGCCGTGCCATTTGCACATCCGTCTCGCGAATCAGTTGGTCCAGCTGGTCTCGCATGCGACGCATTTCCTCTTCCATCTTGCTTTGCGCAAGGTGGGCTCGGTCGCGCATCTCCGCGTAGCCAGTGCGAGCTCGTTCCAGGGCCTGGCGCAATGTTTCTA